AAACAGAGATAGGGCAGCTAGATGTTTTTGCAGAGTTGAACTGAAGGTCATACTAGGAAAAAACCTTGCAAGTTCCCCGTCCCCTGACGCAGCCCTGCAAGTTCCTCAGTGGGGCAAGTTGACCTGGGAGCAGCCCAATTTTCTGGACTACAACTGAACAGGGGCAATCCTTCGGTTAAACTACCCCCAAGTCTGAGACCTTCAGCTCAAATCACTCCCAACAGTATAGAGTTTAAACAGCTGGTGGGTTGTCTGTGGTCAGATCATGACTAGTCTGAAAACATAAAGGAGTTTGGAGTTTTGCTTTACCTTAAAAGCAATAGGAAGCCCATGCTTTAAATAAGGAAGGGACATGACCAACTTTATACCTCAGAATATCCTAGTTGAAAGGTGGTGGAATCAGTTCCGACTCATAGTGACCCTGTACAGGGTTTCCGAGGCTATACATCTTTACGGGAGCAGAAAGACTCATCTTTCTCCTGTGGAACAGCTGGTAGTTTCAAACTGCCGACCTGAGGTTAGCAGCCCGATTCAGAATCACTACACTACCAGAGGTCCTTAGTTGAAAGGTAGGAATGCAAATTAAGGGCCATTTCACTCCTCTTCACCCAGGGATTAGCCAATATCCTGAATTTTACAACAATGTGCCACTCTAGGAGAAAGCTGTACAGCCTTCACAGGGTTGTTATGAGTCAGAACTGACTGGAAAGCAGTTAGCAATGATGCTGAACAACTACAGAGTTGAAGGGTGGCTCACATCAGTATATTTCAATGTTGAAGGGAAAAATTGGGAAGGAAGGCAGAGACGGACGGAATAGTGAGGGATCACAGAGGAGAGAGGAAACGATGGGTGGGGATACAGAGAAGCTGGCAAAGTTGGTGGCAGGAGATTGTCATAGTCCCCACACCCCATCCCTCCACCATCATGCAGAAGATCATAGTCATCTGTCCAGAAGGAGGCGGCTAAGGGGTAGTGGGGCAAACATTGTTGGCTGACCCAACAATTGTTCTCAATCCCTCCTGCTCTGCTGCTTTTACAAGGTTGAAACTGCTTGCTCTACAACCATACTTGGAGCAAGTAGATTTTAATTTGTTTTTTTTTTTTGAGGTGGGGGCAGTGGGGAATACTTTGCTTTTCCTGATAAAAGAGTCCGGTAAGGTTAGTGCCCTTTTTCTCTTTCTTCCTGATTTGATCCCAGATTTGCGATGGGGCTAGGACAGCTCTCTCGAGTCTGAAAATACAAGCCTGATGGAACAGCTGCATGCCAGAGAACAGCCAGTCCAGCCATCATCCTGCTGGTCACTGAGAGCCAGCAGCACACCTGCCAGATTCTGCTGGTATAGACACCTGTTTGTACAAGCCACCAAAGGTTGATTTTGTATCCCAGGACATAGCTGACATGGGGAGATGTGAGGGCAGTGGTGAGCAGCTGACCTGGGCTCTGAATGAGAGGTAAAGAAGGCACATAGGATTATTCGCTAACATCGAAGGCCTCAATGTTCTTTCAGGCATTCCTGAAAGAACAGTCTGTTTTTTTTTGGAGTATTTGCTACCTCTGGAACTTGCTCTAGTGGAAATGCTAATATCCTACTGATTTTTATCAAAGTTCTAGGTCAAGTCATGCAAGAGCAGAAACTCTCCTGTGAGGCAAACTAGAACCTTCTACTTATCAGGAAACTTCTATCAGTGGTCAGCAGTCCAGAATGCCTTATGTGCTAGACAACTCAAAGCACAGAGAACACCCCTTTCAAGATTCACCTCCTATTTGTATTTCAATGATGTGATTTGCATCACTTTCCTTTGGAGAAGTTCAGGTTATTCACAAATAAGAGAATGCATCCTTTCAAAATTACAGCCACACCAAATGAAGAGAGACATTTCCCTGTGAACACTTGATTTCAATTGCCATTTTATTCTCATTAAAACTCCACTACCATCTAGTTGTTTCTCTGCTATTCATAAGGTTTTCAGGGACCAAATATTTGGAAGTAGTTCGTCACTCTTTCTTCCTAGTCTGTCTTTGTCTGGAAGCTCATCTGAAACCTGTCCACCATGGGTGACCCTGCTGGTATTTAAAATACTGGTGGCATAGCTTTCAGAATCACAGCAACTCACAAGCCACCACAGTACGACAAACTAACGAGTGGTGGCCATTTGGTTTTAAGTGGAAACTGTCACTTTAAATTTCAAGGAGATCTGCGTGCATGGGGAGTAGAACCCTCCAGGGGTGGGGGTGGGGTGTCCATTTGCTCAGGCATCGCCTGTAGTCACCAGAATTGAGAAACAAATGAATAGATACCAAAAAAATGAATGTCCGCACCTGTATCTCTGCGGTTCTGTCAGGTATTCATGGCTGTTCTGATCCCTAACCTGTTTTGTCTCTCCCAAGATGACGGCTCTGGGAGCAGCTGAGTGTCTTGAATTAGAAAGCAATGGATTTCTTGATTCTGTTACAAATTCCCCTAGCTGTAAGCCTTCCAATTTTCTAAATATTCCTTTACATGTGGTTCAGAGTTATAGCACCATCCCCTGAGCCTGCTTGGTCTGGTATTCTGTTGTTGCTGATGGAGCTCCTCACTGCACGTCTACCCAATTCATCATCTTGTCAATCACCTTGTCAGCTATCGTATTTCCAATAACCTCATATGCATGGGAAAGCTGGACAGTGAATAAGGAAGATCGTAGAATTGATCCTCTTGAGTTATGGTGTTGAGGAAGATATTGAAAGGGCCATGGGCTGCCAAAAGAACCAATAGATCCATTTTGGAAGAAGTGCAGCCAGAGTGCTCCTTGGAGGCCAAGATGGCCAAACTTCATCTCTCATACTTTGGCCATATTGTCAGAAGGGACCAGTCACTGGAGAAGGATATCATTTTGGTAAGGTGGAGGGTCAGAGAAAAAACGAGATGGATTGGGCAAGTGGCAGCATGGATGGATTCAAGCGTGGCAACAGTAGTGAGGTTGGCCCAGGATTGGGCAGTGTTTCATTCTGCTGTGCATAAGGTCACTATGAGTCGGTACCAACTCGATGGCACCTAACAACAACAAACCATCTAGTTGATTTGACTCACAACAATATGTTGTTGATGTTATGTGCCATGGAGTTGGTTCCGACTCAGCAACCCCGTATAGGGTTTCCGAGGCTGTAAATCTTTACAGGAGCAGAAAGCCTCATCTTTCTCCTGCGGAACAGCTGGTAGTTTCAAACTGCTGACCACAAGATTAGCAGCCCGATTCATAACTATTACACTACCAGAGCTCCTTAAAGACCCTAAATAGGGAGCAGCTAACCTTAGCTTTCTCTTTGGGAGCTGCTGGTGGGTTTGAACCATCAACCTTGTGGTTAGCAGCCCAACACTTAATCTACAGTGCCACCAGGACTCCTTTTTATCCTCATAATACTTAGAAGACTCTGTCTTTTGATAATTAAGCAGTAAAGTCACAATACACAAGTCTCTGAGGCATCTGTTGCTTTATTGGATGGCTTGTTCCTACTCAAGAATTACAAATAGAATGAGCCCCAAATAAAAAAGACACCTACATTTTTAGTAACAGAAAAATACACAAAACCCCATGTACATTTACATCCACTAAAGCTACAAAGTATAATCACTATCAGAAAATTCTATAAGCAAAATTTACTTCTCCCCCTACTACCTGCTATCTAATCAATACTCTAACTAACCAGAGCACATTAGCCCATGTTTATTTCTGGGGTTACTATAAGCATTAGACACGGTTGTGTTTTCTGAGATCAAAATGGTTATACTTCATGGGGATCCCCAGTCAGGCAAAGTTCACTATGGACCTTCCTTGTCCTTCTAAAAACTTTCACTTCTGATGTTTTCTCTATAATTGTTGTTAAGTGCTGTCGAGTTGGTTCCGCATCACAGCGACCCTGCACAGGGTTTCCAAGGAGCGGCTGGTGATTTTGAACCAATCTTGTGGTTCATACCAACCTTGTGATCCAGTGCTTTATTCCACAGTGCCACACCAGGACTTCTATGCCAGAATTGTTGTTAAGTGCTGTTGGGTCCATTCTGATCCATAGAGACTCTGTATAGCTGGTGAGCTTGAACCACCGACTTTGCAGCCCAGTGCATTAGCCCACAGCACCACACTATGCCAGACTAGGGGACACATGAAGACACTAGTAGTTGTCAGCTGTTAAAGGCTTCCTTTTTCAGGTAAGTTGTGGCCCACTTCTCCATCATGCGCTGTGTTTGCAGTACCGCCAGATCTGTACTACATCAGTATTTCAGTCTGTTCTCCAATTTTCGCTTTTCTTCATATTAAAATGAGCATCCCTACTAATTATTAATACATTACTATGTTTAGGACACTCCCTGAAGACATATACCTAATGTTTTATTTCCAAATTACATGGTAAAGGAGATGATTTTTTTTTACCTACAAGGGAAATTAGTTAGTAGATTAAGTCCCTAACAATGACCCTGGTCATTTCGGTGTATGTCTTGAGGTATATACTATTTTGGGTCTCCTCAATTTGGCCCCATATTTGGAATCTGGTAACAAGATAAAATGGGAAAGAAACAAACAAACAAAGTGCTTTAACATTTGACCTTCAAAATTCCAATGCTCAAGTTATGAAGAGGTGGAGAAAAACCATTTTTTATACTGAGTAATCCATCTCTTCTCAACAAAGCAAAAAAACTGTACTTATCTAACAAGGACTATACTACTTTATTATTTGTATTAATAAAAATAATAGAACCTATCTGAGAAATGTCTTCTCAAGGGCTACTTTAGGATGGAACCCTGAATTAGGCTTCGGAATTTCAGACATCAGCGTTGACACTGTATTGATGAGCAGAAAAGCAACAATAGTGACATGAAGATATTCTACATTCTCCTTGGTGGCTTCTTTGACCCTTGAAGGAAACCACTGCCAACTAAACCCAGGATTTATACCAAAGGAGGGTTTGTGCCTCACGTATTCTCTCCTTCTGAGAAAACCGGAGTAAATGCTTTCATTGCCTCATGACACAGATAGGATGTTTTCTCTAGTGTGTCTTTTCTTATGTCTGAAAAGATTGGAGCTCTGACTAAAGGCTTTTCCACACTCATGGCACGTGTAGGGTTTTTCCCCCGTGTGGGTTCTTCGATGCTGGACAAGAATTGCGCTGCGGCTAAAAGCCTTTGCACACTCATTGCACGCGTAAGGTTTCTCCCCACTGTGGATTCTCTGATGTAGAATAAGGGCTGAGCTCTGACTAAAGTTTTTGCCACATTCATCACACTTGTGTTGTTTTTTTCTAGAGGGATTTGCCTGTCTTCTTTCAAATCTGAAATCTTGCCTGTAGGTTCCTCTATATGTGAAACTCTGGGACGCATTCAGACGAGGGGTGTTGGAAACACTGGAATGCAGTTTGATGCCTGAAGAAGTCTTTTGCCTTGAAGCTGATTCCACACTTACAGTTTTGGTATCCACATCTGAAATCATAAACAGAAAAGCAAAATGTCACTTGTTCTCTGTTCAGAAAGGAAGGAAGGGAAGTAGAAGGATCTAAATGAGATACACATGGATTGGTTACTAGCTAGCATTTTTGTAAAGAAAATACTGAGTGCATAAAGCTAAGGGAAAGGTTACATGTTGAAGAGACAGTCAATGGGAAAGATGCAAAGCTCTGTGGGAAAGGTGGAGTTGTATGTGCAAAAACATACTTCTGAGACTGAGGCAAGTTTGGAAGAAAAGAGCTGAAAAGATGAGGAATTACAGAGTATCACAACAAACAAAAGGTTGGCAATGATGAATGGAAAATTAAGCAAAGGTGGCTGAAGAAATCAATGGGTCAAAAGGAATTGGGAAAATGCAAGTTAGGCAAAAAGAGGGAGGATTATGGACTGGGATAATTTGCGCCTCAAAAGCTCGAGGGTGACAGTGTACCCATCTAGGAACAACTCTAATCTGGTATGGATCTGGTAGTACTGGTGAAATGGTTCTGTGTGTTGTAGTTTCGTGTGATATTTGATGTCTATGAAACAGTGCACAAAGCTGTTGGCCTGCTGCCACCATTCTGACTGCACATAAATTGGCTCAAGTTGTCAGGGTGTCTGAAGCGCCAATAGAACCTCTGCGTTGGATGTGACGATTCCAGCTGTAGCTGGGTATAACAACTGAAGCAATCACTTCATGGTGGCCTTTTAACTGAGGCCACTCTAAGACAGCAGTTTAAAATGAGTCTATGGTGTGGCACTGTAGGATAAGCACTGGACTGTTAACTGCAAGGTTGGTGGTTCAAACCCACCAGCTGAGCTGCTCATTGGAAACCCTATAAAGCAGAGGTGGAGAATGTTGACCCTCAGGCTGTATAAGGTCCAAGAAATCATTTGTTCTGGCCCTGCCAAAGCAACCACAATTCCAGCCATCCAAATATACTGTTGTTGTTAAGTGCTGTTGAGTTGATTCCTACCCATAGCGAACCTGTATAGGGTTTCCAAGGAGCAGTTGGTGAGCTTGAACTGCTGACCTTGCAGTTCAAATGGCTTTACAGTTTGGTGCATTAACTCACAGCACCACACCAGGACTCCATCCAAATATAGCAGGCTAATATTTAAGCTGATAATTTTGTATGGCCTGCGAATGATATTATAAATATCCAAATGGCTGATGGCAGAAAAAATGTTCCCCACCCTTACTATAAAGGGCTGCTATGAGTCGGCACTGACTCACCAGCCCTCACAACAACAACATGACAGTACAGCAGTTTTGTACGTGGTTGTGGACAGGATTAGCTGGGGCTGACTGCAACAAATGAGGAGACTGAAGGGAACCCAGAGAGTGTTGATGACGCAGAATGACGCTCTGGGCCTCTCAAGGCCTTGTTTAAAGGATGACATGAGAAAGGTGGTTTGGGAAGAGAAGTTAGTGACTGAGTATGACATTGGCTGAGAGAACTATGAGTTTATAGTTATAAACTATATGGTGCTATAGGATAAGAACTCAATCGCAAGGTCTGTTTGAACTGCAAGATTTATAGTTCAAACTCAACAGCTGCTCCTCGGAAACCCTATACAGGGTCGTTATGGGTCAGAACCAACTTGATGGCACTAACAACAACAATATCATTATAAAATGAATGTATTTCATATTTATTCACAAATATGGCCTATAATTTATGAAGTATTACTGGTTTAAATAGAAAAGTTCACTGGTGGCAAGGTGGCTTAAGTGTTGGCCTGCTAACTGCAAGGTCAGCAGTTCAAACCCACCAGCTGCTCTACTGAAGAAAGATGAGGCTGTATGCTCCTATAAAGATTTACGGTCTTGGAAACCCTAGAGAGCAATTCTACTCCATTCTATAGAGTTGCTCTGAGCTAAAACTGACTCAGTGCCCACAGGTTATTTTTTGTTTAAATAGAAATAATTTCTTAAGTGATAAGGATTCTGTCTCAAATACATTTTTGATAGTTCATATTCCAAAGAGTTAGCACTTGGCAGCACAGAGACCAGGCCTTACACAGAAGCTTTGAAAAGATGACTCAGTACCACAGAAATCAGGCAGTGGCCTTAGGAAATGGTTCTGCTAGTTGAGCACAGTATTCTAGCTCTCTCTGCCTTGTATTGCCAGACCCTGGGACCCTCGGCTTCCTGTTTAAAAACTGTGGGAAAGGCTTCTGTGAGGAAATTGGCTGGTAGACTGTGGCTCTTCTGGGAGCCCAGGACCTAGTTTGGAGGCTGTTTCTGTAGTCAGTGCCACACAAAGCGACTGAGGGTGAAATAGTTTTCCTGTCCTGACAGAGTGTGAAGACGTTCAGTTTTCTCCCAGTCAGAGCAAAGTCATTTCCGGACTGGAGGTGTTATGTGCCCAGTACACAGAGCCAGTCAGTCCTCTTAGGATCAGACACGTGCCAAGGAAGGATGAAAATCTATTCTCTAAATCTTTCTCTAAATTTTAGCATTTTTTTCTTTCTTTCTTTAATTTCTAAAAGCTTTAACCTTGCTCAGCTGTTTAGCGTTCCCAGGAAAACAGCAGCAGTGTTGGGGGGTGGGGGTGAGGAGGTGGTCATCCACTGGGGTTCCCCCTTAGCCTCTGGCTCCCATTACCCAGGACAGCTCAAGGAGGGTCTCAGCTCACATGTGATGTCATCAGAAAGGTCTTCTCCACTACTCTGTACAGTAAGACTCTGCCCTTACCCTGCTTGTCCCCCTTACCCTGCGCTTACACTGCCTTTGTAGCATTCATCTACTTAGTAGCTGCAATTGAAGAACAGACAGCTGTGAAGCCATTTTGGAGAAATTTTGTAAAAACTGATGAAACAAATAATGAAGGCAAGTTTAGGATGTAAGGAAGTCAATGCATCCAGAGTAATGCGAGAGAGCCAAGTCATCTCAGCAGTAACACGGGCGACTATAATCCTAGATCTCACCAGTAATCGAACAAGGAGCTACATGGGAAAAAAAAAAAAAGACGTAGCTCAGTGGTCTTTAAACTTTGTACCCTGGACCTTCAGAACTGCCTGAAATTGACTTCAGACCTCTTTTGAGGCTGAGTGGGAGTCCCTATACGCTGGGACTGTTTGCTTCTGTGTCAGCCAGAGGAGCTTTATCTTCATCTGTTTTATATATTGGAACTCCAAGTAAGATTTCATTTGAGAAAAAGGGTCTGCTGTTTAAAAAAGAATCAAAAACCCCAATGAAGATGATGTTAAGGATTATAAGATCATGAGAAAGAAATAAGAACATACTGACAATGTTTGTTGGCAGGAGAAGTAACCAAGTAGAAGATGGGAGAGGACATCTGTGATTTTTTGCAAAAAGCAGTTAAGATGTGTGTGACAGGCTGAAATGCCCCCTTTGTGCCCCCACCATAAATCCTGCCCCTCACCATTCTGTCTCAAGGAGTGGTGTTCCCACGATGCCCATGGGAGCTGCTTCTTGCTGGGTTTGAGCTGGCTACGTGGTAACTCCTGTGGTACTTGTCTAGGCACTAGCTTCTCTGCAAACATGTCCTCTCTTTGTCCAAAAAATAAGACCTGAAAAGAATTCAGTGTACCTGAGGTTAAAGAAGGAAAATCATACTGGGACTGGACGGTAAGACAACAGAGAAGAAACTAAGTAGAAAATATTCTGGGGCACAGGGCCAGGAGGAAAGAAGTAGAACTATGGTCTATTTTCTGGGACACCTCTGAGCACACTGGCCACCCCACACATCCAGTTGTGGTAAAGAGCATATTGTTTATTACTCTATCTCCATTGATGGGTCAGTGTGATTGACTCAGCCTGGTCATGCATCCCTGCAGAAGCCCTTCTGACCTGCTCTGCTGGCCCGTCGAGCTCTCTCTCCACATCCTCCAGCACAGCCACGGCTTCCTCTCCGTTCTCCGGCTGTTGCTCCTGTACCCAGACCTGCAGCTCTTTGGGCAGGATGGCCACGAACTGCTCCAACACCAGCAGTTCTAGAATCTGTTCCTTGGTGTGCACGTCTGGCCTCAGCCAGAGATGACACAGTGCCCGGAGCTGGCTCAGAGCTTCCCGGGGCCCAGGTGAATCCTGGTAGCCAAACTGCCTGAACCGCTGGCGGAAGGTCTCTGGGCTGTAACGGCTGGTCCAGTGGAGGCTGGAGTCCCGATCACAGCCCTGACCTTCTTCTTCCATCTTCACTGTCAGAATTTTGTCAGGCTCTGCGGAAGTTTGTGGGAGGGATGCTGGTGCCTTTCTCAACTTTGCAGACATTTTGCCTTCGAGTAGAACAGGATGGTTAGGTTTGAATTACCAAGGAGATAAGGCTCTCCTATGGAAACGCTTTTAATAAGATTAAAGAAACAAGTGGAGCAAAGATGAATGCAACACGCTTCTTAGAATAACAATATCATTAAGATGGAAACATGAAACTAAACAAAGCATATTGACCTTAATCTTAATAAAAACCATGCTTTAAAGGTATTTCTTTTAAATATTCAAAGAACTATGACCCATTAATCCATATACATGAATAATTCCACATTTATTCTGAACACCATGACTAAAAATTACAATAAGAGATGAACCAGGATAGCACACGAACTCTCAGCAAACAGAAGATAAGGGAAACCTGGGGGAAAGCTATGATTCTGGAGCAGGGTCAAATTGCTGATTTATTTTATCTAGCCTGCTGCAAAAAGTTCTAAGAAATGGTCTCATGAGAGAATTTTTTTGTTTGCTTGTTTTTTGTTTTTTTTTTCAGGTTTCACTAGGTGTTAAAACATTAATTAGACATTAAAAGAGACATGTATTTCACCATCTCAATGAATGCATTTTCATATTTATTTCTGCTTCCTACTCAGAACATCTCTCTCTATGCTTACTTATCCCCTTTTGTAGAAGATTTTAGTAATTTCTAATTTTTACTAGAGTAACTACTGCAGGGAGGTCATCTTCATGGTTACACTATTTCTCTCTTAAATTATTATCCTAAGAACTCTGCACATTGGGGATATTGGCAAAGTCTGTTGTGAAAATGGGGTGGAAAGACATTTTTCTTAGTATCATTTTTAGTGTGTGTATTACCAATAATTAATCATATTTGAAAATTTTTACAGCAGGCATCTGATTGTGTTTATAGGAATTTAAAATGATGGCTCATTTAAAATGTTATATGTGTGCCTAGTTTTCCTCTTTCTTATCTGTCATCTGATTTCCCCTCATCTTCTAGGTACTAAGAGACACCAATGACCTGAATCAGGCCAGTGGCTTCACAAAGTGTCACTCTAGCAAGGGAGAGGTGATAAAATATTACCTAGAAAGTGATACACCTCTATACAGATGTTGCTGTTAAGTGCCCTCAAGTTGGTTCTGCCTCATAGTGACTCTGTATAGGGCTTTTGAGGCTGTTAAATCTTTGCGGGAGCAGAAAGCCTCATCTTTTTCTTGTGGAGTAGCTGATGGGCTTGAACCATTGATCTTGTGGTTTGTATTCCAGTGCTTATCCTACAGAGCCACCATGTCCCCAATACAGTGATGTGCTAAGATGCAAACAATAACTGACATATACAACACACTATGGGCCAAACATAGTTCTAATGACCTGAATAACAATAAAATTCCTTTAATCTGCATAAAAGCTCATGAGGCTATTTTAAATCCCCGTTTTATAGATAAGGAATTAGGTACTACAAGGTCAAGCAAGGTGTCCAAGGGGAAAGTGGCAGTTGTTGTTAAGTGCCATTAAGTCAGTTCTGACTTATAATAGGGTTTCTGAGGGGCACTTGGTAGGTTTGAACTGCTGACCTTGTGGTTGGCAGTCCAGTGCTTATTTTACAGCACCACATCAGGAGTCCAAAGTGGCAATGCTGGGGTCTAAATCCAGGCCATCTAACTATACACTATGTGTTGTCATCAAGAGGCCGGAGATGAGAGGGGGTCCTTGTTGGCAATCCCTAGGTAGAACCCCAGCACTTGGAAGCAAGCTACTCATTTTTAGAATAACACAACCTACCTAAAGTAACACAGAATTAAGTGGAAAACTTGAACAGACCTGTAACTGGAGAAAGTGATCAGGTCATGAAAAACTGGTGTGGTCTGTAGGAGAAGGGTAGAACCCACCAGCTGCTCTGTAGAAGATGAGGCTGTCTGCCTCTTTATAGAGGTGCTCACAGCAGTTCCACTCTGGCCTACAGGGTTACTATGAGTGGGAAAGTAGCTCTGCAATGGGTTCTTCGGTAAGGCACAAACCAAGGAATAATCATTAACCACTTGGATGCTAATCAAAAGATAGTTACGTGTCATCAAGTCGGTTCCGACTTAATAGTAACCCTGCATATGGTTTTTCCAAGGGGTGGGTGGTGGATTTGAACCACCAACCTTGCAGTTAACAGTCCAGTGCTTCTCCTACAGCGCCACACCAGGACTCCCAAACATAGGAAGAAGTTCGACTTCCTGGAGAGAGAGAAAGTTGGGTACAGTTTCATTCTAACCTATAAGGAGCCATGAAGGGTAGTGGATTAGGCGCTGGGCTGCTAACAGCAAAGTCAGCAGTTTGACTCTACCAGCCTCTCTGAGAAAGATGAGGCTTTCTGCTCCCCGTAAAGATTTACAGCCTGGGAAACCCTATACAGATTCGCTATGAGTCAGAACCACTGACCTATAGGGGTCACTATGAGTAGGAATGAGTTGCCTACAATGGGTCCTTTGAAAGGTCCAAACAGCCGCTGGAGAAGAATCTACCGTCTCCACAATTGCCTTCAGCTCCAAGGCTCACGAGTTGATTCTGACGCATAGCAGACATAGGACAGAGTAGAACTGCTCCCTAGTAGAACTGCTTCTCAGACCGTATGTAAGTCTTTACAAAGCAGACAGCCTCACCTTTCTCCCGCCAGAGCAGCTGGTGGGCTCTAACTGTGGCCCTTAAAGCTTTAGCAGCCCACTACTTAATCCACTATGCAAAAAACAAATCCCCAACATGGCACATGGGCCTGTACGGAATAGTGTCCATCAAAGGAGAGGCTGCGCCCAGAGTTAGGGGGTCAGGGACCAGGGGTTTTTCTAGAGAGGTACAACACTCACTTGAAAACCTCTCCTCTTGTGGTCCGGTTCTGGAAGGGGAGGTGTTCAGTCTCAGGACCCCACCAGAGGCCCACCGGCTCCTTCCTGTCTCCTGTCTGGCGCCCCACTCCGGCTGGGAACCGTCTGGGCGAGGCCCGCAGAGGGGGTGCCGGTGTGACCCGGAGCGCCGAGGGGATCTGGGATGAGTTCGCGGCTGTGCAGGGGGGTGGGGTGGATGTGTCGGGGCGCAGTGGGCCGGCGCCAGGGGTTGCGCAAGGGAAGGACAAGTAGAGGGGGTGACTCGGGAAGCGGCTCCCCCGGAGGGCAAGGAGATGGGGCTGGTGAGGAAGGTGAAGGGGTGGGTATAAGAGAGGGATGCGCAGGTGCGCAGAGAAAGGGGCAAGGAGCTTGGCTGGAGGCGACACCGAGATTCGCGGCCACCCGAACCCCGGTGACAGACGCTTGTTCACTAAGCCTAGGGGCCTGGACGAGGCCTATGCTCTCACCTCCCACCTTTAGGCCTAGAAGGACAACCCCGCGCGGTCCGGGAGAAGCTGGAGGAAGCGTTGGACAGAAGCTGCTTCCGGTCCTGGCCGTGGGGGTGGGGACCTGGGAAACCCGAGCGGTTGCCATGGAAACGAGCTGCCACCGCCTCTGGCCTCCCGGGGGTTGGGCTCAAGATGCCGGAGGAGGGATAACTCCTCGGGATGGAAATGCAGCTGGTATCACCGTTTAAAGAAACAGTTTACATCTCGAAATGCTTTCACCGACATTATTTCATTTTACTTTTGATAACACAATGAGGTTATTCCCATGTTACAGAAAGTAAACCCAAAGTTTCTGTGACTTCCTTAAGGTCACAGAAAGGAGAGACTATTCTGTTTTCTACCTCTACGCACAACCTTCCTCTGCGCTGCCAAGGTATCTACCCACCGCGCTGTAGGAGAAGCACTGGATCACAAGATTGGTTTGAACCGCACGACTGGCGGTTCAAACTCACCAGCCCCTCCAGGACAATTAACAACTGACATTTTAAGGAAACGTTTTGACACCCTTTTCACCATCGCCATACTTTCACAGGAAAGCGCAACAATCGTTGTTTGTTGTGAAGTGCCGTCAAGTCCGTTCCGACTCATAGTGACTCTGTATAGGGTTTCCATGGAGCATATGGTGGGTTTGAACCACCGACCTTGTGACTGATCCTATAACACCACACCAGGAGTCCAGGAAAACATAATGGCTATTAATATATATTGCATATAATGTCCCTGGTTGGCACAAATTGTTTGCATTAGAAGACTTTGATGCATTGTGATGTGGCCTTTGTGTTGCTGTGATGCTGGAAGCTATGCCACCTGTGTTTTGAATGCCACAGAGTCACCCACGGTGGACAGGTTTTAGCTGTGTTTTCAGATTAAGACAGACTCAGAAGGAGAGCCAGACTACTTCCAAATTATTGGCCACAGAAAACCTTTTGAATAGCAGTGAAACACGGTCAGCACCAGAATATGGAATATTGAGACATAAGTTGTTGTTGTTAGGTGCCATCGAGTCGGTACTGACTCATAGAGACCCTATGCACAACAGAATGAAACACTGCCCGGTCCTGGACCAACCTCACTATCGTTGCCATGCTTGAGCCCATTGATGCTGCCACTTCGCCAATCCATCTTGCTGGGGGTCTTCCTCTTTTTCTCTGACATTCCACCTTAGCATGGTATCTTTTTTCAGTGACTGGTTCCTCTTGACGATATGTCTGAAGAATAAGAGACGAAATTTGGCCATCTTGGCCTCCAAGGAGCTGCACTTCTTCCAACACAGATTTGTTGGTTCTTTTGGCAGCCCACAGCACTTTTAATATTCTCCTCCAACACCATAACTCAAGCATCAATTCTTCTATAGTCTTTCTTATTTACTGTCCAGCTTTTGCATGCATATGAGCTTATTGAAAATCCCATGGCTTGGGTCAGGCGCACCTTAGTCCTCAAGCTGCCATCTTTGCTCTTCAACACTTTAAAAAGGTCTTATGCAGCAGATTTGCCTAATGCAAAAGATCATTTGATTTCTTGACTGCTGCTTCCATGAGTGTTGATAGTGGAACCAAGAAGAATGAAGTCCTTGACAACTTCAATCTTTTCTCCATTGATAACAATGATGTTTATTGGTCCAGTGGTGAGGATTTTTGTTTTCTTTACATTGAGATGCAATCCATA